ACGCTGTGGCTGGGGGTTTTGCGCACCAGGGCTCGATGGTGACTGCTTTCTGAAGAAGGTCATGCCATGAAAGAGGATGTATAGCACGTACGATCCTTTCCGAGAGGTTTCCTATGACGACACAGAAGACAAGAGGTTTCCCTACATGATAGAGAGGAAATAGCAGCTTTCGTATATGCACATAGGAAATAGAGGATTGCCTATCAAAATAGACACAGAGAGAGAGAGAGAGAGGTTTTCAGATGATTTCGAAGCAATATTGAGGGGTTTTCCGAGAAAAGCCCCTCAACAAGCAACAGAGGTTCTATTTTGTAAAATGCAGGGGAAGTAGTGGTAAATAGCAAAATGGCCTTTGCCCAACAAAAGGACCGAAGCGCAACACCAAAGCAAAAGAGGCCAAACTTAGGTACCGGACATCATGCGGGTGCGTGTTTTTGGGCTACACCAAGCGGACCAGTGGCCACATGGAGGCATCGCCAACGACGCTTGCATGATTGACGAGGACAGGATCTTCATCGCTGGCGGGGACGCCACCATCCGCATCTACAACTGGAAAGAGGCCGCAAACATGTTCAATACCCAGCCAATACCACAACCACCAAATTATGAAGGGTTCATCTCTTCATCTAATTGCTGGGCCTCTATAAGCCTTTGAGGCCACGAAGGTTCGTAGATGTGGCACATCGGAGGCTCGGATGTGCCTTGAACCCCCTGTGTAAGTCTGAGAAGCCACGTGTCCTCCTTGCAGGACAAAGATGAGCTGCAGTTCTACGCGCACGACATGTCCCTGAATGGGTGCGCCGGGCGCCCAGCCGGTGTAGCAAAGTGAGGGCGTCTCTCGGTCTACCCACGACAGCCTGCATCTTGAACAACCATCTGGTAAGCGAGGCTGAGGCAAATCATGCAGGTATGTCGCACCTTGCAAAATCTTGCAGAACCCGAAGCCGATGGCGTTTATTCCGTCTGCATGTTTCGTAGATGCGACATACCTCAGGGACGGCCTAACAAATGCGGGCCATTCAGAATGCAGAGCTGTGTTAAGGGCTGACTGCAGGCGCGAATGTGCATCCAGTAAACTGCAGATGAGGCACCGGTGTTCAAATCGAGGGCAGACGAGAAGAACTGGACGAAGGCCAGGCCGGTACCCTATATCAGATCCTAAAGGGTCATGTGTGATGGGGGGACGCAAGCTGCCTAGTTCCCGAAGCAGTAGGCCTGGGGTCAGGCATATTCAGGTATTGTCCCTCTGGTTCTGAGAAGGGAATGAAGCTATTGTTCGCAGAACCCAGAACCAGACGCGGTTGAATAGGACTGGGTTGAGGGTTTAGGGTTTCGTGTTTAGGATCGAGTCTTGGTTTCTGCTCTAGGGCTCAAGGCTTTAGAGTCTACAGACTTCCAGGCATGATGGTCCCACACTTTGTGCATCGCGTTGAACCGTTAAACAGGGACCTTGAAGAGTGACTTGAGAACTCGGGAGGATGCCGCAGGCATCCACCTCCGAATCCCTGATGTGGACTCTTGTCATTCTCTATCGCTCCGGTTCCGGTTGGCCGCGAAGGCGTTGTTGTATCTGTGACAGGAAAGATGGTCGTGTTCCATTACAATTCTGTGACGACCCCCCGTAGACTGGTTTGTAGAACTGGGACTTTCCCCAGCAGAATGGGTCACTGGTGTGCTGATGAAATCCTTGGTTGCGGATAGCTTGTTGGTGTAGTATGGGGCTCGGAAGAATCACTACTAGTATTCCCTTACATTCCCTCTATAAGCATCCTACAGTAACCCCCAAAACCCTACTTGTTAAGGCCCCTATAATTCCACAGGAACCGAAGCCTCTCAACCTTGCGGCCTTCAGAGGTTCCCATCATGTACTTGAACGTGAAGTATCCCGAAAACGAGGACTGGCGCGAGTCGGCGGGTTGGTAACATGAAGGGCTGCAGGGCACCGGGGTTCAAAAATCTCGGGTGCTACAGGGTATAGAAGAATCATGGGAAGCCCTCAGGCATCTGCAGAAGATCTGTCTCATATGCAACGTGACTATCGGGAGTCTGAATCGGCCATGCCTAGCGCTGGACTCTGCCATCTTGAAGCGTAATTATTGCCCTCCACTGCCAGGAAGACAGCAAAGCAGCGTTGGAAACGATGAGGCCGTGCGATAGCGACAGCAAGCCCAACATCGTGAGTAGATACCAGAACAGTAGATTTCAGTAGATCGAAGCTGCCACTTTCCACCGGCAAGAGCCTCGAGCATGGAGAAGCGTCTCGCTAGGGTTTCGGGCTTATGTTTTAGGGTTTAGGGTTTAGGGATTGGTGTTTAAGGGTTAGTGTAAGGGTTTAAGGTGCTTTGGGCGCAGGGTTTATGGTCGGGTTTCCCAAGTGCTAGAGACATTAGAGGCCGCCATTGTTGTTGCTATGGCTGCCGGCGTGCTTCACACCGTTCTTCTCCGGAGTGACGGCAACGCCGTGGCTTGGGGGATGGTGAATGCTGGCCAATGCGTGATTCCCCCTTTGGATGAAGGACTCTCCTACACTCAGGTTGCCGCTGGCTGGCTCCACACCGTTCTTCTCCGAAGTGATGGTTGCGCTGTTGCTTGCGGAAGAAATGGCGCTGAACAATGCAAAATTCCTGCGCTGGATGAGGGAATGTCATACACCCAGGTTTCTGCAGGTTATGCTCAGACAGTGCTTCTTCGAAACGACGGCAATGCTGTGCTCTGTGGATCACCTGGACATAGCAGGATTTTACCATTGGATGAGGGGTGTTGGTACACCCAAGTGGATGCCGGTGACGATCATATTGTGCTTCTTCGAAACGACGGCCGTGCTGTTGCACTTAGCAGTCGTAACCATTATGGCGAATGCAACATTCCTCCTTTGGAAGAGGGAATGTCGTACACCCAGGTTGCTGGCGGCAAGAACCACACAGTTCTGCTTCGAAGCGATGGCCACGCCGTGGCTTGTGGAAGCAATGATGGTGGACAATGTGACATTCCCCCTCTGGATGAGGGAGTGTCATATACCCAAGTCTCTGCAGGAGATCACACCGTGCTTCTTCGAAGTGATGGGAGAGCAGTAGCTTGCGGACGCAATGAATCCAAGCAGTGTAACGTCCCCGCATTGAAGGATGACGGAGTCGTCTACACGCAAGTTTCCGCCGGGGTGACTCATACCGTGCTTGTCCGAAGTGATGGCGTTGCTGTAGCTTGCGGGAAGAGCCACTACAAACAATGCAGGATTCCTGCCCCTGAGCCGGGGATATGGTATGTTCGTGACCATACGGTACGGGGCACAGACAGCTTTGTTTGTCAGTTAGATGTTGACGGTGTGGATGGCGCAGTGGCGCTGAAATGTTGTGGCTTGGCCGGAAACGAAGTCTTACGATGGAAGGCACTTGGGTCTGAGCTGGCCTTGGATATTCAAGCGTACATTGCGCATGAGTTGAGAGTCAAGCTCCAGAGCTTACGAGTTGTCTTGCCTAACGGGAAGCTGTTGGCCTCGGTTTGCCGGGCGAATCCGCGGGTCAGAGCTGGCGATCTGAGTGACACCCACAAATCTTAGAGCGCCATCTGAGCAGAGATCAGAGCCCTCCTTACGTGAGCCTTTGCCGGCTTTTGCTGCTGCCAACTGGTCCAGCCCCCTTATTGTACATAACTTGAGAAGCGCTTGCTTCTGTCTTTGCCATAGCACCCACCGTAACTGGACGAGGGAGCGGCCGGTGCCCCTCCCCCTTTTCCACACGTCCATGGTTTAGAAGGCCTTCTAACAGGGTCTCGGGTGTAGGCGTCAGCGGTCTCGGGTAAAACGCGGACAACAAGCCATGCAAAACGTCTACGCTGTCGGGCACCTAACTTGCCGAATACTAAGTAGCCCAGAGACCCTAAACCAACAACCCTGCAGCCCTAAACTCCGGAAAACCTTGAGCTGCAAGGCGTACCACTACCACTCCACCCACGGCACCTTCCTCCCCAAAGCCATCGTTGCAGCGCGCAGTTCGTGCCGCTCGAAATCCAACACAGTCATCTGCAGATGTTTATCAGCCCAAGCTCTCAAAACCTAACCAACCCCCAAACCCGCAACCCTACATCATCCCCAAACCCAACCCTGAACAAGCCCTACGCCCAAAACCTCCCAAGCTTCAGGAAGGCACGTTTCTCAAGAAACCCTTGACTTCTCCATCGAGCCCCCCCCCCCCCCTCCACCCCCCCCCAGCTCGAAGCTTGAAAGGGCTGAGTCGGCCAGGAAAGTCCTCTACAACGCCCTGAACTACACTTCCATCGGCTGACACAAGCTGAGCGCATCGAAGCATCATCTCGAGGGCGATATGCGTAGCTCCTGAACCCTGACAACCCTCTAGTTCCAACGACTCCCCCACTTCGGGACCCGAGTATATCGGGACAGAGGGCACCGCTTGCCAGATACAGGCCTGCTTTCTGACTGGGGCCCAGGGTGTATCTGGGCGCGATTTTATGCAGTTCAACACCCTAGGCATTTCCACACAACGCCCCAACAAGATGTCCCTGAAGCGCAGGATCTGCGGTTTTATAGACCTTAGCATAGCTCTGCCGCCCCGAGTGCACAAATAATTTGTGCTTTTAGGAGCCAGCTCGAGCCCTGAGCAGGAGCCATCTTGAGACGTTCAGGCGCTTGTCGCGATTTGGGAAAATGTGAAGACAGCAACTCATTGCGAAGTATTGGAGCTTAGCAAGCGCTGCCCTGTTTGTATCGGGTGCGGGTGTGAACGATGTACATGTGAAGCAGAATCCTTTTCCGCCTTGTAGTGGTTTCCCAAGACGAACTTGTGGCTTTCGGTGACGGCAGAAGCCGACCCGGAATACTTGCAGCAGCTTTGAGGACTGAGCCTTGAGCTCATAAATTCAGGAAGCCCTAGCATGGATCTTCGGACCTCTTATTTCTGTCGACGGATGGCTCCACTTCTCGGCGTCCAGCTTCTGAGAGCGGAGACCGCACTGCGGTGTGTGATCCCGACGTTGCGGACGGCTCGATGGATAAGAGCTACCCATCCTGCGGCTCGCACGGAGAAAAATTGCCGATGCAGGCTGTTATCTTCACGGAAAAGGTGCCCTCTATATCTCATGGGGGCCCGAGAAGCCAGAGGGTGGCGTGTAGAACGCTGCCTCCAGCACGCGCTCATCAGGGTTCGCCCTCTTAACTTCTGACAGACTTGCGCTCTATAATCTACTGAGTTGCTGGATGTAATGACGCTTCTAAAGGACCAAGGGCTGGTGGCCACTACTCTTCGTACTTCTTAAAATCCCGGCTTCTCAAGCCCCCACACAAATCTCAAGGTGTGCTTTTTGATTTATTACGATGATTACTATGCCTACCGCCATGACTGCTGCTTCTACCACTACTCCTATACTTCTAGAATTAGCACGCATCGCTGGTGTCTCGTTTGTGTGTGCCCCTCGGCTCACAGGTAGTGGGCTGAGCAGCGTTAACTGCGCTGCACAGCTGCATATGAGGGACACTGTTCTGCCCGCTTGTCGGAGTAGCACGGTTCGAAGCGTATATGGGGTATTGGGGGCAACCAGCTGAGCTCCACGACAACTTTCACTCAAACTTACCAGCCTAGTGGCCACACAACAACCCGCACCTGGCGATCCGGCAAAGATGCCTAGCAAGGCCCTGCACATGGGTACCCTCTCCCTGAGGGGGGAAGCAGGGTCGACAGTTGCAAGGGTTTAGGGGTTGCAGAGGCTGCCGGGCTGTCAACAGTTCGGGCCAACTTGGCAAGCCATCAGCACGGGGTCTAGGGATGTGGACCTTGCAGATCTTCATCGCAATCCGAAGCCGAAAACCCGAACCCCCAAAAGTCCCAAAAGCGAAACCCTAGCCCACCTGGCCAGAAACTCCAAAGCCAAAATCCTGAAATCCTGGAGCCGTCTCTCCGAGCTCTGCAATCAATGCCCTTCAAACCCTAAACCCTAAGCCCTAAACCCTTTTGACCAGGAGCTGGCAACCACCGATGGCAACAAGGCGCGAGAAAAGGAGTCCGGTGCCCTGGGGAGGTTTTTTTTCACCCTTTCAGTTCCTAGTAAGGAAGTTAGGGTTCAGGGTTTAGGGTTTAGGGTTCCAGGAAGTTTTCAAACTTTCTGGTCCCTACATGTTGCTCGCAAGCCACGTCGATGATGGCGAGAGGGGTGTGGGGGGGGGGGTGGGGAGGGGGGGGGTAGCATCTCTGCCCTAAGCCCTAAGCCCCAATGAAGCCCTAAACCCTAAACCCTAAATAAACCCTAAACTCTAAACTTTAAGCCCTAAACCGCTTCAAGCCATCTTTATACCCAGGTTCAGAGCAGATGCTCAGAAGCCACTCGACACGCCGCGGACCCGCGAGGTGGTCCTCACATTGTGGACCTTATTGGGGCTTACAGGGTTTGGGGGGGTTTTGGGGGGTTTAGGGTTTAGGGGTTCAAGGGTTTTGGGGTTTAGGGGTTTTGGTCCTCTAGGGGCTGTTGGTAGGGGTTTAGGGTTTTAGGGTTTCGGGTTTACAGGGATTAGGGTTTAGGGCCGGACTGCGATTTTCATAGTGCTGTCCCTTCTGCGATGGTTAAAAGGAGAGCGTCCTACAAAGCTGGAGCCGGTAAAGGTGTGCTCATGCATGCTCACACTGGCCGCCTGAAACCCTTAGGCCTGATTACAACCCCGAGTGCTAGGAGCCCCAACCGCTCCAAAACAGCCACTTTTGGAGGCTTGCCGTCGCCTTGGGCTGGTCCCCGAAGATCTCCAGCCTCGAGCCAAGTGGGTTTAGGGTTTAGGTCTTTTTTCTCGGGCCTTTTGGGGTTTGGTTTTTCTGACGGGTCATAGAGTATGTTGGAGTATCTTGGACAGACCCCGGTTGTGGGAATTACCCATGCAGCTGGGGGTTGAGGGTTGCAGTGGAGCTTCGTGCGAGGTCGCCTTTGTCTATTTATAGATGACCACTCCAGAGACTGATGGTGCGACCTCGACAGGGGTTTCGGGTTTAGGAATTAGAGTTGTATACGTAGGTTTTCCTAAGACAGGGGTTTAGGGTTTGGGGTTTAGGGTTTGGGGATTTCCTAAGCCTGGATGCCCGCGACAGTTAAGATTGAACGGCGTGAGATGCCTCCAAGCCCCCTGGAGGATGCTTCCTGAGGGCTTGGGGAGAAGTCTCACTCAGGTGTTTTGTTTGTTGTTAATCGGGTTTAGGGTTGAGGGTGTACGATTTCGGGCTTAGGGCTTAGGGAACTTAACATGAGCAGCACGGATGAAACCAGCCACTTGCGGGCGAAGTCTGAGAGTCTGTGGCAAAGGATTCGCAGCTTCGAGTCCTTTGCCATTCCGGGGGACCTGAAGGCAGCCGCAGAGAGAGCCCTAAACCCTAATCCCTCAGCCCTCAACCCTCAACCCTCAACCCTAAACCCTAAACCCTAAACCCATCAAGGGCCAGTCTGTGGAGCTACGGATGTGCTTGGACTTGCAGCCGCGATCCCTTAAGAAACGAAAGCTCGGAAGTTTGCAGCCCCCGGAACTTGAACAGGGGTGGGCTCACATAATTCGAGTCCGAGCAGGTTTCGGCACCTCAACCTTGGACTGTTTCCAGGAACCGTGGATTTTCGGGTTGAGGGCTTTTCTGGACTGCTACATGGACCCTCTGGGTGAATCCGCACGCAAGAGCAAAAAATGCTTTCGGCGTGACATAGATATACATTGGCTGGAAGGCGCGGCCTAAACCCTAGAAGAAATAACCCTGTTTTCCCTATACGCCTCTTCAACGCCCTACAACCCCAAAACCCGACAGCCCTGAATCCCCTTCCACAGGAGAAGCACCAGCTCCGATTTGAGCACTACGAGAAGAAGCGGAAGGAGACCGAAAGCAGATTCAAGGGGGCTGCTAGTTTAACTTGAGAAACCCTAATTAATCCCGAGGCCCTAAACCTCACACCCAACGCAGTTCCAGGCACCTGCTAGTCAATACGAAACCCTAATCCCTAGACAGCTTCGACCCAAAACCCAAAACCCTGGACCCTAAAACCCTGAACCCCAGACCCTTGAATCGTTGCGAGCTAAGGTTGATGGTGCCGAGGGCTGTTGTAGGGCTCGTAGAGCTTTAGGGCGATTTAGGGTTTCGGACCCTCTGCTCCCAAAGTTCTCCAACTCTCAAGCCCAGTTGTAGCAGCAGCCTAGAACGCCTGGACCCCCGGATGCTGCAACAAGTCCGTTCCCCCTGGAGCTACAGCCTCTCTGCCTCCCTCTCTCTCTCTCTCTCTCACTCTCTCTCTCTCTCTCTCCTCTCTCTCTTTCTAAGTGCTACTTTGACCAACCCTCTACTATGGACACTTTAAGTCCATAAACGGGCAAAACCCTCCGCAGCCTTCGCAACAAGCCAGGAGCGCTTCGCGCAGGTCTTGGCGGAGCGAGCCAAGGCCTGCGGCAAAGCGCGTTTGCAGAGAAGCTCTGGCTTTGGGTTTTTTGGGATTTTGGCTTCGAGGGTTTAGGGTTTTGGGGTTTCGGGTTGAGGGTTGAGGGTTTAGAGCCTCAAGAGTTTAGAGTTGAAGGGGTTTTAGGGTTTGTAGGGTTTGTTTCTGTGGATTCATAGTAGGGTATAGTTAGAGGGTTTAGAGAGCTTGAAAGCTGGAGGGCAGCCTCGTAGAGAGTAAAACAGGGCTTGCAGGATAGGGCTTCGGGCTTCTTGCGTTCTTCCATTGAGTTATATGCAGCCAACGCGCTGCGAACGAACACTCCGAAGCCCTCGGCCCCACACGCCCCAATCTTCTGAAAGACAGCCTAAACCCTACACCGTGCCTGAACCCTAAACCCTAAACGCTAAGACAGAAGCCTAAATCCATTTGTCCACTGTAGCTAAAAAAGCCTTGCTTTCAGGTCATTGCAGAGAACTCCAAGAAGGGAGACATCCCAGGAGTTCAGAGTGCTCAGGTGCTCAGCAACGGGCGCGGAAAATTGGGCTTAGGGTTTCGGGTTAAAAGGACCAAAGGGGGGTGCTTAGGGGTTTCCGGGACAACTTGCTAGCTACCAGACCGTTGTCTTGAGTCCTCAAAGACAGAGGATGCCATCAAACTGGTGCCATGTCAACGTCCCTTGAAAAAGCCGAGACGACTACCGACATGCCCCACTGTACTTAAACAGGCTCCTACCTACATGTCGACCAGAATTTCGAAGTGGTCCCCCCAACCTCTAAACCCTAAGCCCTAAACCCTAAACCGTCCAGCGCTTTCAGCCGCCAGTTCTTGTCGATGCTGGAGTCGCTCTTTGAAAAAGAAGCCCGCCGGATGGAGATCGACATGAAGGACTCAAATTGTGCCCTGGGGCTTTTTGCTGGCGGTCAACTGGGTCTATGGTTTAGGGTAGGCTGTTTTGGGTTTAGGGTTTTAGGGTCGGGATTTCTGGGTTTAGAGTTTAGGGTCGGGATTTTGGATACCAAGTCCAGAGCTGTCCACGCTGATCATGCGCAGTGTACGGTCATGATGCTTCGCTTTGTTCGCCTCTCTCGTGCATGTTCTTGTCTTCGGCCGTTCATGAATCCCACCCGCTAGCCCTCCCTGTACCATACCAGTCCTCACCTACTTGCTGACTTCCTCTGCACCTGCTCGAAAGTGCTACCTGGGTTCAGAGCTGGACTTTGCCTGATCCGTTCTGCCAAAACAGACACACTGTGTCGTATAGCTAGATCTCCCAGTGGGAGCCTCTTTCACCTTTTCTTGCGGGGAGATGCTCGAAAGGGGGCTGAGGTTACCGGGGTTCGATGGGCCTTTGGTAGTTTGATGTAGTACGCCGTGTTGGTAGAGGCTCTGGGCTTGGGTGTTGTGACTGTGTATCGTCATGTATCCAGAATCTCAGCTACTTACTGCGTGAGCCTCTGCTTCCCATCACAAGAAACGAAGGTCAAGGAAGCTCCCTCGCACCCTGAGCATCCCAGCTGCAATCCTAAACCCCTAAATCCTTAAACACCTAAAGCCCTAAACCCCCTAAAGCTTACACAGGCGGCGAAGGCGGTGGTGTCTTTGTTTTCTGCTGTCAATGAGACAATAATTAGCAGCTTTTTCGTGAAGGATCTCCTGCGTTCTTCATGCATAAAACGTCCGATGACATCTTGCATAAAGCGCGAAACCCCTAAACCCTAAAACCATAAACCCCTTAAACCCCAAGCCCCTAACCCTCTTAAACTCCCAAACCCTTAAAGCCCGAACTCCTTAAACCCTGAACCCCTGAAGTCCCCAAAACTCTTAAAACCCTAAACCCCTAAACCTCTTAGAAGTTTCGAGCCAGGGTCAGCTTCGACAGCACAGCTCCCTCGTAAAGGCATGGGGCGATGCTTCACTTCGCAGAGTGTTTCCATCGTGAGGGTTTAGGGTTTAGGGTTTAGGGTTTAGGGTTTAGGGTTTAGGGTTTAGGGTTCAGGGTTCAGGGTTCAGGGTTCAGGGTTTGGGGTTTCGGGTCTGGGGTTTGGGGTTTAGGGTTCAGGGAGTCCCCTTATAAGACCCATGTGGGAGGCCGGAAGAATTTGGGGACGCTTTGTGGAGTCCTCGGTTTCCATAGCACACAGGAACGCCGATTGGGGTACCGAAATAACAATGAGGATTTAAGGTCTAGGGTTTAATATAGGGCCTCTGGAGAGCCATTTACGGCACGTTCACCTTGTTGGGCATGGTGTTCATGATCTCCTGTCCGTCTCCTAGACATCTGAGTAACAAGAGGAATCAACATGTCGTGTAGCCTAAACCCCCAAAGCCCACACCCTGAAGAATCAACAGGTCGTGTAAACCCTAAACCCTAGACCCTAACTTCTGCCTTGCGAGTGGATCAGGTCAGGCATGGGCCCCTAAACTCGTTCTTGCCTCGGGGGGCCCCCCCCCCAAATAGTGGGCATAGGGTTTAGGGTTTGGGGTGTAGGGTGTAGGGTGTTTTGGTCGCCCCAGCCGTCACCCCAAGCCCTTGCTGCAAAGAGTTCCGAGAAACCATGGATGAGCAAACCTCTCGGTGCAGGATAACGAGGACCAGCTGACGCTTGGCTGCCTCGACACATCGTCTGTTTTGGTCCAAGAACGAGATTTCCCTCTATCTTCATCCCAGCCTCCAGCCTGTTTTCGCTACTGCCCTTAAGCTTGTAAGCCCAACCCTGAACCCCTGAACCCTAAACCTTAGATATGAGATGAACCCAGGAAGAAGGAAGGTCAGCTGCAGGAGAAGCTCGTTGAGCTGGACCGAAAGAGGCTGCACACGTCTGTCCACAACGATGTTGGGGTGCAAATGTGTCGAGGGAGTTTTTGTACTCGGGCTCGGCTTCCAACCTACCAATATCCCTAAACCCTAAACCCTGCTAAGCCCGCTTCACTCCGAGACCCGCATCTGCCCCTTCCCCTCAATTCTCTTCAACTGCCAGGGCTGGTTGTGGACTCCAGGTGTGCCATGAAACAGAATGGCCTAGACATAGTAGACCTAGGGCCAGAACCGTTCCGTTGCTGCTGCGAAAACGTTATGGTGATAGATTCCCAAGCAAGCTTGGTCCGTTGCCACCTCAGACCCACGCCCAGTGACCGGATGCACCCCGTTTCAGAAGCACCGTGTCCTAGCGCAGAAAGCCGAAAGCAGAAGTCGCCCCATGTTCAACGTAGTTGTCGTACAATAGCTCATCACCATAATAACCGTAAGAAATAGTGATGCCTCCCAGCTTGCCGAAGTTCCCGTCCGGTCTTTCCCAATCCTGAGCCCCCACAGCAAACATCCTCTGATTCCAGCACCTTTGCAGGGAAACAGCAGCCAAGCAGTTCGAAGAGAAGGGGAAGATCACGAAGCACGGGAGGGTTTTGGGGGGCATTAGGGTTTGGGGTTCAGGGCTTAGGGTTTAGGGTTTAGGGTTTAGGGTGTTCGAAGCACCGGGGCGGCTTTGGGGCCATGTGGTCTCCGATATCTTGGCACGTGTCGGGTGCATGGGCTTGCCGGAATGTTTAGTTCATGTACCCTAAGAATGAGATACACCTGCTGCTTTAAGCCCCAATTAACGAACCTTAAACACACACACTCAAAAACCCGAAACCTCTTTAGGATTGACTTTGTGTTTTGGCGAGTATAATTTGGCAGGTGGAGGGGTGTCAGGTTTGCCATGGAACCTTTGGCGAATGCTTGGGGCTTAGGGTTTCGCAGCCCGGGGTCTAGCCTTTTTTTGGTATTTGTTTTAGGGGTTTCCAGTTTTCCCGTCCTCCGAAGGCGTGACCCGAGATGTGCAACTACGGGGAGGGACGGGGCCTTTGGAGGGACGTGGTAGCTGTTTCTCGTGACGATGCCGAGGTTTCGAACAAGTCGGTTCTGGTTCGCTCTTGGGCTGTATACGGCTCGCTGGGGTCGATCCCGTATCACGTTTTGCACGGTGTTTCCTTGCAGGGAGAACCTGGACAAGCGCCAAGCGATGAACAAGGCACGCCTGGCACTGGGCATCAGGGCCCATTTCCCCAAATAAGGGTCTCACCACCTTTAGAGGCCCGAACCTTTCCCGACGGATGTTTCTAACCTTTGCAGGATTGCAGGATGGGTTGGCCACAAGGTGAAACTCACAAAGCCCTTGTCAAGGACTTGAGGGGGGGCCCACCCTCGAACCCTCGGTTTAGGGTTTAGGGCCTATAGGGTCATCGATGCTGCCTTCAAAAGTTGGAGCCATGTCCACCTGTCCATTAGCAGCTTCGACTCGTATATTGAAACTCCATAGTTGACTGCCAGGTACCAAGACTCTTAGATGTTAGCTTAGGGTTCAGGGCCGGGGGCCTAGATAAGCGCTGAGCTTCCAGATGAGACATTTCACCTAGTACGTGGCTGGAATACACTGATAAGCCTATAAGCCCACAAAGCTTCAATGTTCAGACATCCATGGTGCCCTAAACCCTAACCCGCAAACCCTAAACCCTAAATCCTGGCATTGCGCAAGGAGCTTGTTGTAAAGCTGGACGAGGAGCACAAGAAGAAGCAGGCTCTGGGCCAGCAGTCGCATGCCATAAGCCATAAGCTCAAGCATAACTGGACGGGTGCTTCAGGAGAGTGGGGGGGGGGGGGGGGGGGGGGGGCATGCTGGTACTACTCTCAGGTTCAAGGGTTTCTGCTCTTCTGAGCTTCTCCGCACGAAGATAGCGTGACCAATCTGACATCTGAGAGCCCATACACGGCGGTGGTGCTGAATTTGGGTCTCTTCCACGCAGATTGCTATATTCCTCATCATCGTGTATATAGTTATTGTTGGGGTGCCCCCCCCCCCCCAACAAGGCGTCTACCATGGGGAAACGACTTCCTGAAACGTGGAATTTTGACCAAAAAGGGAGCCTACTGCACCATAGATGGTCAGGTATGTTGAACAACTACCACGTACTACCACGTAGCTCACACTGACCGCGATGTTATAGGTGTTCTGGTTCAGATTTTCCAAATATTTTCCGGTGGCCGGAAATTGAGTTTAATTAGCTTCAATCACCTAATTATGCTAAGTTTCTTCTTTAACTTAGTTACATCACGTTAACCGTTTCGTTCGGCCCGCAAATTGTTCAGAGCCAAACACGTTCATCCAGCTACTTAAGTTCATCAGTACATTGAAGTCATTGAAACCATCTTACTTCGGATCTTGCCAGAGGGAGGATTCCAGTAATGACATTGAAGACAGTGCCGTAAGCAAATGCAATCCCGAGCTCGATGGTGCGGGGCATTTAAAGTGAAGGGGTTTTTGGGTTCATCGGGTTTCTCGTGGGTCCTAGGGTTTAGGGTTTCATCCCATTCTGGGCTGCGCAGGCCAGCTATGCTGACGAGATGGTTGCGGAGAAAGAACGACTGGAGAGGCGCCATACTGGAAGGGTTCAGGGTTCAGTCAGGGCTCCGAATTTGGAGCCATGGCACTGTGGGCTGCCAGCACCAAACCCCACTGCAAAGCAGGTTCATGGAGGAGCGCAAGCTTGCCACACTGGAGCGCAGCAACGTCTTCCGCGAGCGAGTGGCGCAGATGAAGGCCGCTGGTTGCAAACTCTGGTGGGATGCCCTAAACCCTGAAACCTAAACCCTAAATCCCGAACCCTGAACCCTAGATCCCGAACCCTAAACCCCAGAACCTGAAACCACCCTGATGTGTAGATTTGACGTTGCCGTGATCTATCGGCTTTTGCTGAGATATGTGTTCACAACCCTGGACCTCAAAATTGAAAGGGTTCAATCTCGGGAGGAGGCTGCTAAAGACAGGGTTCTTGTTAAGGAAGCTAAATCAAGTTACCATAAGAAGAGTACTACATGAACTTGCTCCTTAACCTTGCTATGGAAGCTTCATTTTGGCTCCTAAACTTGGGATGTTTCCCCCTATACGAACAGTCCTTAGTAGGGATCCTAATGGGGGGTACTATAATCCCCGAAACCCTAAACCCTAAACCTAAAGCCCCATTAAGGGCTGTTAGTATAAGGGGGGAACATCCCAGGGCATAGTGGCCTAGCCTTGAACCCCAAGAAGTGCCACCCTAAACCCGATTATTGGGGTTTCGGGTTTAGGGTTTAGGGTTTAGGGTTTAGGGTTTTGGGTTTAGGGTTTAGGATTTAGGGTTTAGGGTTAGGGTTTAGGGCCCCGAGGACCATAGCATCAGGGCCCTCTGGGTCCCCCCCCGATGCCTATGGCTTTTGGAACCTCTAGCGCCTGCAACCTCCACATCCCCCTGGAACAGGAACAAACCCCTAAATCCCAAACCCTGGCAACCTCCCTGAAATCCTTAAACCCTAAGCCCTTAAGCCCTAAGTCCTAAACCTCAGAAACAGAACAACACCCGCGGTCCCTAAACCAGAAAACTCTCGAAGCAGGAGAAGACCGAGATTCTCCAAGAGGCCTAGGGTTGAGTGGGTTTACGGGGCTTAGATGTGTAGATGGTTTGCCGGGCTTTATAGGGTTTTACCGGGGTCACAGGGTTTCTAGGGTTCATAGGGTTTACAGTAGTTTGTGAGCTGAGGGTTCATAGGGTACGGAGGCCTCCTCCAGTGCTTCTTCGGGGGCTGCACCGGTTGGAGTCAAGTCGCCATTTTCTTGGCAGTTGCTGAAGTTTGGGGGGTTGGGGTTCAGGGTTTAAGGGGGGCCCTACACACAGGAGCCCTTTTGATTTTCATAGTGGATCACGAAAGTCGTTTCCGATGAGTTCGTCCAAGATGCTACATGGGCCTAAGTAGAATTCCGGCTGCATGTGGAGGTGCATGTGCTTCTTGTTGCTCATGGCAGCATGTTTGGGCCGTCCACAGTGTCCGGCTCCGTCAGTCGGCAGTCAAGTCCAAGCAACCGCATTGGAGCCCACGCCTGCAGGAGAGGCGCCGGGAAGGCGAGAAGCAGCTCGAGAGAATTCAGGCGCCCACCGCTTTGCAGGGTTTGGGGTTTAGGGTTTAGGGATGAGGGTTTAGGGATTAGGGAGCAGGGTTTAGGGTTCAGGGTTCAGGGGCTCCGCTTCTAGAATTGGGGCTTGGGGTTCAGAGTATAGAGCTTGGTGTTTTAGGGCTTAGGATGAATTACTTCTGAGGATGAACATCTCGCTGATAAGGGCAGTTCTGTTCTCATCTCTCCAAGCCCCTACTAAACGTGGCCCTTTCCAATGTGAAAGATGGGTTCAGAGTATAGGGCTTCCGTGGCAGAAACCGGCACAGCAACCTCAAAAACCTTCGACATCCCTTGTGAATGAGGGCATTTCTTCACCGGGTGAAGGGTAGCGCAGAGCCTACGACCTCCAGGCCCGAGTCCTAACAACCCCGCGCGCATTTCAGAACCACCCCCGAACCCTAAACCCTAAACCCTAAACCCTAAACCCTAAACCCTAAACCCTGAACCAACAGTTCCACATGAAAGCCGCTAAGAAGCCTCGGAAGCCGTCTGCGAGGAGCGCATCGACGTCGTGGCTCGCCGGAGGGAGGATGAGCAGAAGAATCGGCAAGTTCGCTCCGAGGACTCCTTGTGTTGCTGCCTGGAATTCACTATCATATGGGAGCTCTCTGAACTATCGTCCCTCTCAAAGAAGGACCCGGTATGTGGTATGTAGTGCCAGACGAACCTGCACTAGGAAGTTTTCTGGTGCTTCCCAAAGCCTTAAAATCCTTAGCCCTGAGTCCTGACGAGGAGCAGCATTTGCACCTCATGGATGTCCGCGAAGCGAAGAGTCGCATCGACAGGGTCGACGGCTACAGGTGCAAGCAGCGGGTCTTCTGAAATCGGAACTGGGAATAGGGTTAGGGGTGAGGGTGTAGGGGATTTAGGGTTTCGAGTTTAGAGTTTAGGGTCCTGTTTTGGTACCCTATACTCGCTCTGCCTGTGTCTTAGCCAACAAGGCCTCCAAAGCCTGTTTGCTCAGCTCGGCGCAGTGGGCCATAGCAGGTTTCTTTATGGGGCCCTCAACAGGGACCGCAATGTACAACCTAAGAGTTCTGGAAACACCGGATGAAAAGCAGCATCTTGGCTGCTCAAAGCCTTCACAGCATGCTCAACTCATGATAGCAAGACACGAACATGTCGCAGAGGCTTTGCATGAGCCGGCCAACCCCCTTAGCCACAACTTACCCTCCGATCTCACATTCGGCAGAACTTTTCTCAACAGACCTGCGGCCACGTGCATCTCCAGATGTGGGGTCTCTATTCACAGCTTCGCCATCTCCTGATGAAGCATTCTACAGTGCCGAACAGCCATTCTTTTTGCACAGGCGTGATGAGCTTCGTGAGCAGATCGACAGCCGGAGCCTCGATGGGCCTCGATGGACGGAGTCTACTTGAGGGACTTGGGGGGATGTGGGTGTGATGCTCCTTTCAGGGAGACTATGCTTGAAACGTCGTGACTTTGGCAGGTGGACAGTTACAAGAACAGCGCCTATGCTAGATCGATGCTCCCCTTCGTACTTACCAAGACTACCGCAGTCACTACTCCCCTTGAGCTTTATATTGCTTCGGGAGTTAGGGACCATTTCAAAGCATGCGTAGTCTCGGAGATTCGAAGCCCAAGCTGAATGGCTTCCACTTCCTTGGCTCTGTGTTCAGCTGAGGCAACATCGAGCGAATCGAGACACTTCTGGCTCTCAAGGACCCTCTGCAGAAGCACGCTGGAGTTGGTATTCACGATCATATCCTCAGGCCATGCTGAGGCGTGTGTAGGATGTGTGCAATTTCCGATTTAACTCCTCGGTCTAGCACATGGACCGACTTGGTATTGCGCCCGCTCACAGCTGTCGTGCGTGCTACGCCGCTGGAATATGTTTCCGAACTACTGCCCACGAAGTCCAAAACGGGCCCCCAGCAGTGTCCTGGGTTTGTATCAAGAACATACAGGGATTGTAAGGGTTCCCTGTAAAGGAAGATGGCCATGCATGCAGTCTCAAGCGCGCAGCTAGGCCACCCTACGAAGAGATGGCGATGAACGCAATCTTGCTTGCTTGGACTTGCCTGCTTGCATCAGTGGATTCGCTGCCGGAAATGAACGAAGTCGACCCACCTCAGCGCCATCGACCAGCAGGTGAAGGGGCTCCAGCTGCAGCGCGAAGTGGAGGCCCTGCCTCCAGAAGGCGCCAACTTCAGTGAGACGATGCGGCGGTCAAGCAGCTGCAGCTCAGAGGTCCTTGCTGATAAGCCGAAGCTCATGCTTTGGCAAGTGAGGGATAGTCATGGTGGAAACGGATGCAACACCACTTCAAGCCCTTCAACCCGAAACCCTAAACCTAAGCCCGAAACCCTAAACCCTAGCCCTAAACCCTAAACCTTAAACCCTAAACCCAAAACCCTATACACCCTGGAGCGCGCTCTTCCAGGATCAGTTGCTGGATCAGCGCAAGGCCGTGGCTCCTTTGAGCTGAGGTTGTTTTGGGCTTGGGGGGGGTGAACATAGGGGTTCGGAATAGGGTTTAGGGTTTAGGGTTTAGGGTTTGGGGTTTGGGGTTTGGGGTTTAGGGTAGATAATTATACCATAACAACCCCAAAACTCCATCAAATCTATTGGGAGGGTGTTCATCATGCTTTTTGTTGGGGGCTTCTATTCGGGCATATTGGAGGGTCGAAGGAGAGAGAGTTGTGCTCATGGGCGTTTAAACATTTCCCCTAAGGGAATGTAAGGGCCACATTATCAATATATCATGAAAACCCAACAGAGGAGCCAATGTGCACTCGCATTGAAGGTTGGGATGATGGGATGATGACAGCCACGTGGGTAAACAGCAGGTGCTCTCGCAGAGCAGGAAAGTTTCGTAGACCCACGGACCTCGGTGAGCTAATCCCGTGTGATGTGTGGGATGACACCAGTTGTTTTGGACTGCCCAAAGAGCCTCAAACTCCGATTGGGGCTCCAACTTGGACGTTTCCGCGGGCTTCAGGGTATTTAGGGCATGTCGGGTACGCAGTGAAGGTTAAGTAGCGTATTTAGGGTTTCAGGGTTCATTGTTTCGCCCTACTCAGCGTTAGGGTACTTCCAGGGTTGATTACTCAGCGTGTGGACCTCGCCAGGGCCGCAACACGAAAGTGGAGAGCACGAAAGGATCTCGTGGTCGTCGCCTTGGGCCCCTTTGTGTGCTGCTGCCATCGGGGGCTTCGGGTTGAGGATGTTGGTCTAAGCCTTAGACGACGTCCTAAGCCCTAAGCGCTCAACCCTAAACCCCATAAGCCCTAAACCCTAAACCCTAAACCCTAAACCCTAAGCCTTAGAAGCCCTGAACCGCAGGCCCTTTTAGACTCCTAGGATGCCTCGAGATCGAAGGTTGCGGTGTGAGGTTATATCTAAAGGGGAATGGGGCCCCTTGCATTGGAGTTAGGGTTTAGGGTTTAGGGTTTAGGGTTTAGGGTTTAGGGTTAGGGTTTAGGGTTTAGGGTTTAGGGTTTAGGGTTTAGGGTTTAGGGTTTAGGGTTTAGGGTTTAGGGTTTCGGGTTTGGGGTTTAGGGTTTAGGGTTTAGGTTTATCTAGGGTTTAGGGTTTAGGGTTTAGGGTTTAGGGTTTAGGGTTTAGGCTTACGGGTTCAGGGTTTAGGGTTTAGAGTTTTGGGCTTGGGGCTCAGGGCTTAGGGTTTAGCGTCGATTTTCAAGAGCATCGGTCCTCAAGGGCTTATCGTTTATCTCTAACCCATGCATCTGTGCGGCGAGGCCCAAACCCTCGACGCCCAACCATAAACTATAAACCCTAAACATGTTGCAACCGGTAGAAGCCCAAGGTCTCAGCTTAAAGCGCGACGTCCAGCCTGGACCTGGTACCTACGAGGCCAACTCTCCGGGGGAATCGGGGGGAAGTCGCTGCCGCTGTTTCCGACGTTCGGTGTTCAGAGTTTCGGCGTTTGCGTGCTGAGGGGATTGGGAACCATCGGATGAACGGGTTTAGGGTTTAGGGGTTATTTGGTTCTGTTCGTCAGCTTGTCAGCTGCTTGACTTAGCTGCCTTCGAAAGCAGGCATTCGTTCGGCATGTGTTCTGACGTGTCGATTGGAAGCGAGTAAACGAATTAGGATATCTGCATAAGCTTCATGGGGTAGACCGAAGACAATCCTTCAGCGTCTAGGAGCCAGAGTAGGCCCTTAAACCCTTTTTTCGGGTCCGGTTCCCTTCGAATTCTAAGCCCATTTACACCAAAAAGGGCACCCTTTTTATTCCTACGTTGCTCTTGGGTCCAGTCGTGATAGAGATCGTATTTCACGAACACCCAGAAAATCTCCACCTCATGCCCTAAATCACGTCACCGAATGCTGTTGATCCTTAAGGCCGCAGACCCTGGAAGACCTCAATCTCTGAGAAGGGAGCAATGAGCACAGCTGGTTCCCGACATCCCAAACCTATAAACCCCATAAGCCGTATAACCCTTTAAACGCTATAAACTAAACCCTATAACCCCTATAAACACCATAAACTAAACCCTATAAGCCCTATAAACCCTAGAGACATCACAGGCTCCTCCCACCTGCTTGCACGAGCTTCCCGCCGCGCGGATCGGCAAGTCCAAGGCGGGTTGGAGCACCATATTTGGGGGTTTCGGAAGTAGGGACCATAAGGGAATACTACTAGCAATTATTTCCTCATGGCGGATCCTAAGTACCTCCCGATCGTGCCCGAAACAATTCGGGGTTTAGGTTGAGGATTTAGGGTGCCTAAGTTACTGGTGTTTGTACATATTAGTATAAGATATTCAGTAAAGACAAGCCTAGCATTCGTCGTTTAGGGCTGGAGGCCGATTCTGGCTGGGTTTGGCCTTCGGTTAGTTTATAGGGCTTAGGGTTTAGGGGGCTTAATTAGGGTTTAGTAACAGAAGTGAATCAAGGAGCGTCTTCCGATGTGCAGTCCCACTCTCCCGCTGCCGCGCAGATCCAGTCTGCTAGCGCGACACCCAAAGCATCACCCTGTACCCCGAAGTGAAACACCTGAAGCTTAAAGCCTTAAAGCCCCAAGGCCCTAAAACCACAAGAACCCCAAGCCCTTAGATAGCGAACACCCTCGCCCCTTAACCCAATAGGTTCCTGGCTTGGTTGATGACGCGATCCGGGCCGGTCACTCAAGCGCTGAGTTCTGGAAGAAAGGTGGATAGTTTTTTTCCTTCGGGGGGGGGGGGGGGGGGGGGGGGGTGGGGGGTTAAGGCAAGGGTGATCAATGTATGATGCCTCCAAATGTAGTACATACAACTCTACTTGTACTACCGTGAACCTCCAAGCATGTGTACGGCTGCAGGCTGCAGATATTGCAGCGCCATAGATGCCGTAGATATTGAAGGTGTCCATAATCGGCTTCACAGTTTCAAGGGTGTGGTCCAGGCAAACTTAGTAGGGCCCCGGGCGTGAAGCTCGCTGTCTCTGTCTCTCTTGCTTGTGTTGTTTTTTTTTGTTTCTCTCTCTCTCTCTCTCCCTCCTCTCTGCTCTCTTCTCTTATTCTCTGTCTCTGTCTCTCTTCTCTTTCTGTTCTCTCTCTCTCTCTTCTCTCTCTCTCTCTTCTCTGTCTCCTCTCTCTCTCTCTCTCTCTCTCTCTCTCTCGCTCTCCCAAGTCTTCAAGGGGCACCCTTTTGGGATGTAGGGTTCATTGGGTTTAGGGGAGTTTGCAAACAGTAGACGTCACTTCTTGACAGCCTTTATATCGAATATGGAGTATCGCACATCGGGGTATAGAAGGTGGGCCACCTTTTTTGGGAGATTGGGGGATTCCCATTTCGGCCTCATCAAGAATAAGCCTTGTCAAGCAGAAGCATCACCAACTCAACTCCCCACCCTGGGGCCCCTACACCCAAAGCCCCAGAGCCCTAAGCGACTCTAGAAAGCCCAAACCCTAAACCCTAAGCCCCAAACCCCAAACCCTAAACCCCAAACCCTAAACCCTAAACCCCAAACCCTAAACCCCAGACTTGAACTTCGTTCTGCCAAGGGTACCAAGCACAACCCGGCTCCTGGGAGTCGCAGCCCTAGGGGGTCGAGGGTTTTTTGAGGCTCTACGGGTAGTTGGGTTTAGGGTTTAGGGTTTAGGGTTTAGGGTTTAGGGTTTAGGGTTTTTGGGATGTTCCCCCTTGGGCTAGCAGTCCTGAACCCTTAATGGCGATCAGAATACCGCCCGGGGTTACCCCCTATGGAAGGCTGCTAGAAGATGGGGGGAACATCCCAAGGTAGTTCCATGGTCCCTTCGTATAGCCCCTTACCTTCTTGAAAAGGGTTCCGATGTAGGGGCCCTTGGGTTGACATAGGGTACATCAGGAGTAAAAAAGGGGTCCCCTTTTCAAGCGCCACTATGAAGGGACGATGCAGCTTTTGTAGGAGGGACTCTTGCTCGACGGCTTTCGGGGGATTCAGTGTTTAGGGCTTGGGCGGGCCTAAGAGTTGAGAGAGGCGCTTTGGGGTGAAAGCTTGTTGGGGGATGTTCTCATGGTCTTTGTGTTGGTATCCCATCTTGGGCTGCTCAGGCTGATGGCGGGCTTTCTGCATATTGCACCAGGGTTCTCTGCTTGAAGACTGCACAAGAGTTCAATCCTACAAAACTCCTGAGCTTGGACAAGGAGCTCAGGAGCATGGGCCTCTTACGGGGGAAGCCCCCCCCCACCTAGCCCCGGGCAACCTTGAAAAGGCCTTCTAGCGCTGCTCTTTTTTGCGAAGTCTTCTGAACAAAACCGGGAACTCCAACAATTGGGCAGCGGGGGTTCTCTTGGTGTGAAGCTCCTCTGGTTTGTAAAGAAAGGCCTCTGCGCCCCTGAGGCTATGACACGATCCTGCTGCCGAACGGCGATAGGCTCAATCAGCCCAGCGGAGGAGCAAGTTCCTCCGATCTAGATGGAGTAGTTGCGCATGTAGGTAGGTCTGATACTGGGACCCATGCTCTTTCAAAGTCCATGCGCACTGGGCCTCCCCAGGCCTCACAGGTTAGCACGCTTAACCCTAGCATCTTCAAGCCAGATCAGTATTCTGATGACCTCAATCAGCCGCCACCACCACCACGACGACGACGACTGCTGCTACTGCTGCTACTACTACTACTACTACTGCTGCTGCTACTACTACTACTATTATTACTACTACTACTACTACTACTACTACTACTACTCCTACTCCTACTCCTACTCCTACTCCTACTGCTGCTGCTGCTGCTGCTACTGCTGCTGCTGCTGCTGCTACTACTACTACTACTACTACTACTACTACTACTACTACTACTACTACTACTACTGCTATGATGTACGGCCGGAGGAGAGTTCAACAAGCGAAACCGCGACTCCTTCCTGGACGAGGTGAGGCGGATCAAGGTCGGCACCGGGGAATTCTACGGGAAGCTGGTTCGGGGTTTATAGGGTTTCTGTTGTTTCGGGGCGCATGGGGGGGGGGGGGGGTTGATCTACTTCTTGTGCAATTTTCTTGTTTAATTGCATTTTTTACTTCATACATTTTTGGAGAGAGGGTTTGTGTTAGAGGATGTTTCTGGAGTTTAGGGTTGAGGGTGTTTTAGTTCAAGTCAGGGCGGATGGATGTCAGGAATGATCAAGCTTGCGGCGGTGCCCTTTGTGGCCGCTTGTCGAATGCGTTTCCCAGCGTCAAGGGATGTCTAGGGTACCAAGGATCGGGCCATCATGTAGATCAAGACCCCTATGACGACTGCTTACCTCAGATGCGTTTCATGAACTCGAAGGATGTCGAACAGTGCTGTCAGGGCTTCACGGCTAGCGCTTTGCCTTTTGAAGGGAATCTTGTTCAGATGCCGGGAAGCACTGCCCAGTTCTGACACAACACATTCCTGTCAGTTTGCACCGCTCCACAGCGTCATGGCGAGTGAGGTTCCTGAGATCTGAAAAAAGGTGTCCCGCGAAAGATTGACACGGCAGTTGCAACGCTTTCTTATTTGCAAGTGAAGGTGTCGCTTGCTGTATGAGCGTAGCGCCTTGAATCCTAAACGGGATTAGGGTTTAGGGTGTAGCAGTGTAGCAGGACCCTAAACCCAACACCCGAAGCCCTAAGCCTCAAAATCACCCAAAGCCACCCCTTCCCAGCCCGTCCTGCATCAACGCCCTTCGAAGGGGCTCCGAATTTGCAGGGAACGAATTCTGAGCCTCGCACCTGAGCGTAGCACTTGTTGCACAAAGCCCGTATCTTTACAACCACCACAAACCTCCTGCAAAACACCCTATGAAACCCTGTAAACCTCCCAGAAAAACCCTCCTGCAAGCCCCCTATGAACCCCCCACAAACGCCCCCCATAAACCCCCCTAAAAAACTTTGGGCCAGGCCGACGTGCCGGCCCCTGGGTCCTATCAAGCCAAGAGTGAGCTGGACAACCGTGCCGTCAGGATGTCGTGAGGGCCTCGGCTCCTGAAAGCCAAAGATGCGCGTCTAAGAGGTTTAGGAAGCTTAGGGTTTAGGTTTATGAAATGTGGCACAACCCAGAGAACCCAGGCGCTTGTGGGTCTGGGGTGTGTGCAAGGATGTCAGACAATGTGACGCGTTGCCACTAATCATCTTGTCCATGTATACATGTATACATACATACATATATATATATATAACCATATTGTGCATCTGTACATATATACATATATCACTACATGCATATGTATGCAAATAAATAAATAACAAAGCAATACAGGAGAACACAGCTTGCGCAGGCGTGAGCGCATCGTGGGCGAGAACTTGGACAAGCACTCCGCGAAGAGGCGCCCAGCGAAAACATCGGGGGGGGGGGGGAGGCGGCGGCGTTTGGGGTCTTATGCTTCGTCATAGTGGGATAACATTTTACATGTTTTAAGGGTACTTACACTCAAGAAGGAACATAAGCAAAGTATTCTTAATGCAATCCCAACCATGAAAGTTATGGGGGGGGGCCATCTGAGGTCTCGATTTTTGCCGTGTAGATATGGGGACTAAAAGGGGCCCATCGTTATCTAACAACCTACGAAGATGGACAGACCTCATACTCACACTTCTGTTCCCCCAACCCCTCCCCCGCCGGATCCACGCGTAGACCCTGAACACCGCGTTGTACCCGTCCTTGCCCAGCAAAAAGGTTTATATGGGCTTTTGCGTTCCCGAAGAACTGCCAGCAGGGTCTTTCAGAACCACACCCGGATGCCCTGTAGGTTCCCGATATGGGCACGGCCCTCCACTGACACTCCCGGCCCCGCGGGCTACAGCGTGGACGACTACACGCGCAAGGAGGCCCCTGAGCCAGCTCTGGCTGCATTCTGCAAGGCATAAGTCCATTAAGTTTGGGAGATTCGGGGTCCTAGCAAACTTCATTACTGCGTGCAGTCTGGGTGAGAATGTTTAGTTTCCCTTATTGGCTACGAGACATACTCATGAATCGGACCTTTGCAACTACCACGTAGTACAGAAATGTGGTCAGGACCATCAATAACAAACCTCTGGCTGGCCAAAAATGTAGGGTTTGGGGTTTAGGTCTTCGGGAAAAAAAAGCGCAGCTAACCAGCCACTTGCACATCCAAGCAGTCGAAGCCTACTAACCCGAAATCCGAAAGCCCAAGAACTTCACCCCTGAACTATAGGTAAGCAGGAAACTGAAGGTTCCCCGTAGGGGATATGTAACTCCTGAAATCCT